GCGCCCACAACCCAGGCACATGCCCCTGACCGGAATCGAACCCGGGACCTCTCAGTCCGCAGGCCGACGCTCCATCCACTGAGCCAAACCGGTTTCAGCGGAAGGCCTACCCATGCACAAATTTCATGCATCGGGCCTCTAGAATCTTAATATAACTCAATCTTATACAGCAGCACCCCACCTGATCTATTGTGAATTTTCTATTTACATAATTTTCAAGTGAAATCTAGTTTCCCCTTAAGGTGCAAAAATAGTTTAACATGATGGGTTTAAAACTGGCAGGGAAAAATAAGGAGTATACACAGCTAGAAAAAATACAGAAACTCATTCCGTTAAGAGTAGTCTCAAACGGAACCTAGATACTAAGATAGAAAGCTAGAAACAAAAGACAACAGGAAAAGGTAAGTAACTTATGGTCTCTCCCAATTACTTGAATCAGAGCTCAACCCAGGCAAGAGTTAAAGGATCTGCCCAACTGGTGTGGTGCAGTGGTTGAACCAGGAGGTCACGGTTCCATTCCGGGCAGAGCACATGCCTGGGTTGTGGGCTCAATCCCCAGTAGGAGGCATGTAGGAGGCAGCTAATCAATGATCCTCTCTCATCATTGAAGTCTCTCTCTCTCTCTCTCTCTCTCTCTCTCTCTCTCCCTCTTCTTCTCTCTAAAAGTCAATAAAAACATATTTTTTAAAAAAATTAAAAAAAGAGTTAAAGGCTCTGGGTTCTAGTCCTGTCTCTCACACTGAATCCTTACCCTCAGTTTACCCATCTATAAAATGAGTAGGCTGTCTGTGGTCCCTCCCAACATGGGCATCCTAAGATTCTCTGGACACTTACTTGAGTGTACCATGAAGACAATGGAGTGTCTTCAAACAGGCTTTTCATATCCAAAGGGACGAGGAAAACGTTGTCTATTGCTGAGAGGAGGGAAAAGGCTGGGTACGTGGCGTTCGGGGGCAGCTGCGTGGAGCTGCTGAGGCCCTTCATGAAGAACACCACCGGCTGCCCGGGATAAACCTTGGCAGCGGACTCCACAGCGCAGGAGACCAGCGGGGACGGCTCCGTCCTCTCAGAGGTCTCTAGGAACACAATGCTGCGTCCCTTGCCCAGAAGGGCTTCCGGCCCCTGCTGGGACTTATGGGGGGGCCGGCAGGAGAAGAGGCAGCTGGGCTTCAGGGTGAGCTGGTAGAGGAAGCCGCAGGAGAGCAGCAGGACGACCAACAGGGAGAGCTGGAGCTCCTTCAGCATGTCCACGTCTCCCTTCTGGCCGCTCCTTTAAGTCAACACAATTCATTAAAAATCACATCCACAAAACCGGGTAAAGATAGCACATGCAAAAACAATAAAAGAGTATCACTTCTAAGCTTAAATCCCAAGTGAACTATAAACAAATCAAGTCATGCAATATTCAAAAGAAAAATGTATTAACTGGAGTTTAACTGAGAAATTTAAGGTGATTCAAAATAGGGGGGGAAGCCAAAACCGGTTTGGCTCAGTGGATAGAGCGTTGGCCTGCAGACTGAAAGGTCCCGGGTTCGATTTCGGTCGAGGGCATGTACCTGGGTTGCGGGCACATCCCCAGTAGGAGATGTGCAGGAGGCAGCTGATCGATGTATCTCTCTCATCGATGTTTCTAACTCTATCTCTCTCCCTTCCTCTCTGTGAAAAATCAATAAAATATATTTTAAAAAAATAGGGTGGGGAAATCGTTCATTAACAGAAAAACTATTAATCACATGCACTGGCTTATAGATTAAAGAAGAAAAGCTGCATGATCATTTTGGTGAATAGATGCCAAGAACAGGATACAATTCTGTTCAACAGAAGGCGTGCAGGAGGCAGCCGATCAATGATCCTCTGCTAAGTCTAACCAAGGCAATAAAACAAGAGAAAAGAATGTCTGCTATGAATTCTAGAAAGGATGAGGCAACGACATCACTAGTTGTAGAAAATATGATTGCCCACCTAAAAAAATCAAGGTAATTTACTAAGAAACTAATAGAACTAAGAAGAAAATTAACCAGAGAAGCAAACTGAAGTCTAGAGTTAAAGAACTTGCCAAGATCACAGTTAGCAGACCCATGCCTCTAACTTGGGCTTGCCTGTCCCTGTAGGACCCCCTTCTCCATAAACATTAGCTCTAACTCCAGGAGAGCAAAGACTTCACTTTTTCGATGGTCTATTTTTTCACATTCCATGTGCCTCTTTTAGAAAACAATAAGCCAATGAATCAGAGCTTACCTTCTAGCCTGAAACTTGCCGTTAGCCACTGTCTGAAGTCTTAGCGATGACCACAAGTTTTTCCTGCTCTACTCTTTGATAAATCACCACCTAATCTTCCAACTCAACAACTGAGGGAAGTAAATCATTGGCCGAAGATTAACACTAAACACGAGTTCTCAGAAAGCTCCTCCCTTATTAAGTTGCCCCAAACACAGAGACTTGGGGACAATAAAGGCTTCGCACAATTTTTCAGGTGAGCCACACACTAATCCTATTTGTGGATTTATCAAGGGGAGGGGGTTATAGGGTGATGACTTCATCTGGAGAAAGTTGAATATAACCCTGAAGCTAAAAGATATGGCACCTAAGCAGTTTAGTTTCAATCCAAATCATGAGCAGAGCCTTGGGAAAGTTTCATCATCAGACGACCCTGTAATTTGGGCCAAACTTTGCAAACACAGATTTGAGTAAAAGAAGTCAGTCCATCACCACCAATAAGCAGTGGACAGCCCCGGGAATCCAAGGTCCTGATGATTTGGAACCAGAATTTATTAGCCACTTTCAGTTACAGTGGCTTCAGGAAGGATCCTTTGCCCTGAGGCCCCCCTTGTGAGGTATAGCTTCCTCCAAGCCTCACAAGGTCAGGTTCATCACCCTCCACTGACGTGGCAACCCCCACATCTCCAAAGATAGTGTCGCTCTCCTGTGGTCTGTGCCCCAGGGCTCCTGACATGAGTAGGTAGTTATCCTCAGTGAAACCATCCTCATTCAGGGAGTCGCCTATCTTCAACTCAGAGCCTTCTCTCAGCCATGAGCAGGTAGCCACAGTTCCCCCTGGGTGCTCTGGTGTGAACCTGATGTCCTTCCTGAGTGTTTCTGCAGAGGCCTCCTGTCACCTGAGCCACTCTGCCAGGAACTCCCAGGGCCCCCAGATCTTCCCTTCAGCCTTCCCTCTGGTGGGAACAGAACTGCCTTCCCTTCCTTCCGCTCCCCTTTCTGCCTTACCTGGCCTGTATCACACGGACTTTGTGTGGGTAGATGCACAGCAGCAGCTCCTAACCTGGACTCCACAGGTCCCCAGAGGTCCCAGTTTGGGCTTTGGGGACCCTGGGGCCATACCCTGCACCAGTCCCTTTGCCCTGAGTGTCACTGATGCAGAGCCCCTACATATTCCCTGTCTGAAGGAATGTCCCCGCTCTTTGATGCTCCATGACAAGAACTCTGTTCAAAATTCCTCCAAATGCCTGCCCCACACAATGGCAGGCTTGCTCCGACCAGCCAACCAACCCCAGGGAGAGATCTGAGATGTGCAATGGGTGGGTCTGGATACGCTTGTGAAAGCCACATATGCATCCCGATGTCGTCTCCTTTCCTAAAAGCTTTGGCCTCCTGTGAGAGTTCCTGCTTCCTCCATCCCAATGTGAGCCAGAGTGGTCAGTGCAGTGGACTGTGGAGCCTGGGAAACTGCTACTGACTGATGAGGCCTTAGCAACGGTGGAGTGATGTAGCCCCACCCAGGATGAGGGCAAAACCTCTGAATCCGGTGGGTTGTTTTTTTTACATTCAATATTATCCCAGTATTGTCTTTATTTTACAATACTCTTCTTTGGATGTTCGGAGCTAGTCTGAAGAAAAGTTGGTACAGGGAGGAAAACCTTGGAATCAGAGCTGAGATTTCCCCCAACCCACCAGCCCCACGGATAACCTCTGATAAACTCAACTGGGAAAACTTCAAGGTTTGGGCCCACACTCCCTCGGCTATAAAGGACTCACTGTATCAAGAAGGAAGTTAAAGGAATTTTAACACGAAATGTTTGTTGAACTGAATTACACGTGAAAAGTGCACCTCTTAATTCTGTAGCTTCTTTGAACTCTTGCTTTATTGTAAGAAGGAAATTTTCGAGCCAACAATACTTGCCCTATTTACTTTGGAGCACTTGGAACCACAGTTCCGGTTTTTAACATATTTGTTAATCAAGTGGGGCTGATAAACTTGTTAAAGCATTCAGCTATTAACAGTGCAAAACCAATACAAAGTGATATCTTATCAACATTGTCCATTTCTGCCTTGGCTGGTAGTCAGTTGGTTAGAGCATCCTCGTGATACACCAAGGTAGTAGGTTTGATCCCCGGTCAGGGCACATACAAGAATCCACTAATGAATTCATAAATAAGTAAAACAACAAATCCATGTTTCTCTCTCCCTGCCTTCCCTTTCTCTCTCTCTAAACAATAAATTTTAATTTAAAAAAATACATTGGCTCTTGGTCAGGGTCCATGCCTGGGTTGCGGGTTCCATCCCCAGTGGGGGGTGTGCAGGAGGCAGCCGATCTATGATTCTCTCTCATCATTGATGTTTCTCTCTTCCCCTCTCCCTTCCTCTGTGAAATCAATAAAGGTATATTTAAAAAACAAACAAAAACAAAATTAACAAAAAAATAAAACCATTGCCAGTTCCTTTCATCACTGTTCTGAAGCTGGAACGAAGACTAGAGACCTGGGTTTAGGTGCATGAACAGAGACAGTTCACTGCAGAGTGAGAGAGAACAGGTTCCCAGCCTAACACCTGGGAACCCATGTGGGAATAACTGAAGGTTATGAACAAGTGACATTTTCAACATTAAATCCTGAAAAACAAATTTTTTTTTATTGAAAATCTTTGAAATCATGCCAGCATAAAATTCCCTGGTCCCATGACAATATTTTAAACTGTTCTGCGTGTCCAGTGGTTCTAGCCTTGCATTTCTGACAATAATGCTTTTGTTCTCCACTCAGCCGTGCCAGTCCAACATGCTCCTGTGTACAAAACCTTGCATAGCGATCAGGAAGGTATTTCTGGGTTTGTTCTGGAAATTACTGTGCTCACACGTGTCATTTTCCCCTTTTTTAAGTTTACTTACAGATAAAGGAAGGGATGGGGGTAAGGGCAGGGAGATAAGGGAAAACAGTTGTTCTCAGTGCAGCAGTTGTGCAGACACCACCCTTTCAGGCTGAAGAACAGGGTCTGCAAGATACGTAAACTGAACAGTGGTCCAGTCGGAGCGGAGCGGAGGGCCGTGTGAACAAGGTTTGCTTTCAGGCTCTGTAAGTCAGTGTTTATTCTCTTTGTTCTGTAAGGAACTGGAAACATCTAGAGCCACCTGTGCCATGTGTCTACATGGCAGGGAACTTTGTAAAACCGAGTGGCTGTGAGAACGAGCAGGACCCGATGTGGCTGAAAGAAACGGTTGTGGACTGAATGTTTGTGCCCCCACCACCACCACCACCAAATGTGGGAGAATGAAGCCCTAACCCCCAAGGTAATGTCATTTGGAGGTGTGGCCTTTCTGAGGTCATTAGGTTTAGATGAGGTCACGAAGGGGGCATTCTTACAAGAGGGGAAAACAAAGATCCCTCTCTCTCTCTCCACAAGCATTCACCTCGGAAAGGCCAGGGGAGGACCCAGTAGGAAGGCAGCTATCTACAAACGAGAGAGTCCTCTCCAGGAACCCATCTTCACCTTGATCTTGGACTTCCCAGTTCCAGAACTGCGAGCAATAGGTGTCTGTTGATTAAGCCTTCCGTCCGCGGTATTTTGTTATAGCAGCCCCAGCTAAGACAGAAGCCCCGCTGTAAGCTTCTTCTCTTTAACCTCCTTCCATGTGTTTTCAAGTTTGTGTTGAAAACAATGAAAGTGAGTAGTATCTGTCTTTAAAGTAAGGGTACTCAATCTAGTAAAGAGATGAAATTTTAATATGTTTGTATATGAAATATACAAGGGCCTAAGGGCAAAGTCAATTCTCTATATAACTTCATTATTACAAAGTTAAGTCTTGAGTCAAAAAACCCAACTCTAAAAATATGGTCTTAAAAATCACATATCTGTATACAAGATGATAAACTGTCTCATGCTGCATCGTCATCATCCTCTGCAGCATAGATGGCTTGATTCCTCCTCTTAATTTTCTTTCTTTGTTCAGGTACAGACTCATCACTCAGCCTCTTCCCTGGTGCTCTGGTTAAGTCCTTCCCATCTCCAGACTCCACAACCTCGCCAGGTTTCCC